TCTCTCTCTCTCTCTCTCTCTCTCTCTCTCTCTCTCTCTCTCTCTCTCTCACACACACACACACACGGCTGTCAGCTGAGCAACATTGTGAGATCATCTGATATTCTAAAGGACAGTACGTTCAGACACTAAAACTATTATTTTGACGTTAACACAGTCCAGAGTCATTTGAGTGTTATTTATGTAGTTTTGTCTTGATAAAGTAAATGACAGAACAGACACAATGACAGAAGTAAAAGGCACAGAGTGATGAGTGACAGCTCCATGTCAGGTTTTAACCTGATAAAATACAAACTGGCAGCTGTCGGCTGTGTTCTGCAAAGCTTCACAGTGAATTTATTGTTTTCTATCTGTTTAATGAGATGAGTATAACTGCTGTCCTCTGATTGACACAACAGTTTTTAGTGACAACAGGTTTAAAACACAGAACAAATAATAAATTAAAGCACTGGGAGAGTGCAAACCTCCATCAAGACCAGTTTCCTCATCCTGTAAGAGTTAATGTGTAACAGCAGAGATGAAACATTTACTGAATAAGTTCTGATGTAGTGAACATTTAAGCAGCAGTATGATGGGATTTCTTCTGGTGGAGTCCAATGTGGAAAAAACAAAGTCAGACTGGTCACCTGACGTTATTCATGGTCAAACTGGTGTGGGATTAAGCTCCTAAGTTTCCATCAGTCACATTTCACCATGTAAAACGTCTGTTTTATCTCCTTGTATGAGTTTGTAATGGTTTGACTCTCTTTATAAAGTGCTTCCTGGCTCCCCCCGTCTCCAAACTTTGAGTCCGTGCTGTCCAATCCAGCTCACTGTTTTTTACAGAAGCCCTGTGAAAGCATCACATCTTTGTTGATCTCAGAGTGTTAAAATAAATTCCTGTATCCACATCGTGATCCAGAACATCACCAAAATTTAAAGTTGTGTTCCTTGACCCAGTACCCACATGTGGTAAAAATGTCATGACAATCTGTACACAAGTTTGTGAGTAATGTTGTCCACAGACAGACAGACAGACGTATGTGACTGAAAACATTACCTCGTCGTTGGCGGAGGTAATCAGAGTAACTGAACCAACTTCCTGTAGATTTTCACAAGTTGCACAGAAGCTAGACGTCTAAAGGTTCTAGTCATTTGACAGATGATGATGTTTAGGTTTACACACATGTGTCCTCTGTTGTTCTCACATGTTTTTTCTGTTGTGTTCATGTGTTCCAGGTCAGCCTGAATGATTCTCACAACCAGATGGTTGTCCACTGGGCGGGAGAGAAGAGTAATGTCATTGTAGCCTTGGCCCGAGACAGTGCAGCAGCTACAGGACCCAACACCAGCTCTGTAAGTCTGAACACATTCATGTGTTCACATACTAAACCAAACACAGAACTGCAGCACCTGCACCGTGCTTCACACATGAACTGGTGTCATTCAGATCAGCAGCAGTATCTTCTCCTCACTTTGGTACAGATTGGTCTCATCAGTCCACAACATTGACTTCCAGAACTTTTACAGCTCATCTCTGTAATTCTTTGTGAATTTCAATTCAATTTAAATTTAATTTTTTGAATTGAATCTCATTTGAATTTTCAATTGGATCTCATTTTAATTTCAGTAAGCTTGTTAATCAGTCGAACTCTTTCATTTCTATATTTCTGACAGTAAAACAGAGCCTGTTCTACAGGTTCATGTTGTCCACAATCACATTTACCTGCTTCATGTTTCCCTTTTAAGAATAGAGCTATTTAAAGGATGATTAGTTGTAACATTAGTTGAAAATATATTTTAACACAGACGGAGCCATTTTATTTGCACACAAAGCATTCTGGGTAAATGATGACGTGGATAGGTCCTCGGTGCGAGGCTGCTAGCGAGCTATATCCACCCTGAAGGTTAATCTTGGACAATATCTGACGATCGACTCTTTTAAATGAAACCAGAGAGCGTTGACAGAGAGGAGAAGGTAGAAATGACTCAGCCTGGAACTGAAAATATGGATGGAGGACAACAGGTTAGCTTGTTAGTTTGTGGCGTTAGCACCGAGCTAATACATATAAGGTAATATAGCGTCGGGGCTAAAGCTAACAGGCTAATCGGAGGTTCTGAGCTGTGGACAGATTATCTCCAAGCAGCTGGATGTTCCTGTGATAACATCTGCATAATGTTCAGCTATTATGCTGTTAATCTGGACAGATTTCACAACTAAAGTGAAACATTTTTCACTTGTACATGTCAGAAGCAGAAGAGCCCCAGCTTTCAGCTGAGTAGTAGCAGGTATAATCTTAAAACCGTTGAAAGGACAGTTAGAAATAAAGACGTTATCTTTCTGTATGTGTGTGTCCAAAACAGCAGGACGGGTCCTCCGAAGGCCGAATTTGTCGGCTGCATAGGTCACAGCGCCGCGACGGAGGCCGTCCAAAACCGAAGACTCCTCCGATGCGGCCGACAAATACATCCTTCCTTTGGCCCGAATCGAAGGACAGGTCTGATGGATCCTTCCCGGCCCAGCATATCCCATAATGCATTGTGGCCTGATGGGAGATTTTTTTATGCTAGTAATGGTGGACGAAGCGAGAGAAAAGAATACATTTTAAATAAAAATATAGTGATATAAATACTTAAAAAATTAGCGGTTGTAATTCTGATACTTTTATCATTTGTATGGACATGTTTTTAAATATTTTTTTGTCATAAAAACCCCCCCGAAATAAACATGTACCTACAGCGGGTCAATTAGTTCTTCAAATGTTACCTTTAAGTTAATTTTATAGTTTTGTGATATTAATAATGCTAATGTATTGATATTTTTCTAGTTTTGATTTAAGTTTGCTTGTTTAGCGTCGTCACAGTTGCTAGGTGACATGATGTACGCCGGGGTGGAGGGGAGGCTAGACCGTCCAAATTCACAGACTCTTTTTTTCAGGTCTTCCTGGTCTACCAAGGACCCGGCCCACCTCGACCGGGGAGTCTGGGTCCTCCGGAGGACCCGGCCTGTTGTTTTGGACACAGCCGAAGTGTCTGCAGACACCAGACTGTAGCAGGAACAGCTGTGTCAGCACTAACTCTTATATCCTGTGTGTCTGCAGGTGTATGTGTCGTATGACTACGGGAGGGTTTTCACACCCGTGTCTGACAAGTTCAAAGTGCCAGGATCACAGGTGAAGGATGGCAGCAGACTGGTCATCTCCCAGTTCTACCACAGCCCTGCAGATAACCGCAGGGTGAGTCACAGCCTGCTGCAGTCATGGTGTGTCTGAACCACAAGGATGTCAGCTTCATGTTGTCATGTCAGAAGACTGAGGTTTGACCTGTGCTGGGGGTGTGTGTGTGTGTGTGTGTGTGTGTGTCAGCAACAACAAGAAAACCATTTCAACAAACACACTGGGATTTCAGGATTATCATTTGCTTCAAAGCTGACAGCTGAAGTTTGTTTCTCAGGACATTTCCTCATCAGTAAGCTGTGATTTAATGTTGTGTGTGTGTGTGTGTGTGTGTGTGTGTGTGTGTGTGTGTGTGTGTGTGTGTGTGTGTGTGTGTGTGTGTGAGAGATAAAATGTGTATATGTGTGATAAAATGTGTATGTGTGTGATAAAATGTGTATGTGTGTGATAAAATGTGTATGTGTGTGAT